ATCCGGCTCGAAACTCCCACGAAACAAAGAATACTGTCACCTATAGCCTCTCCACACTACCCCATGGGATTCATCTGCCCGGCTCTACTACCAAGGAGACACTTCACCGCACTTATCATCAAACATTACCAAGAAAGCAATGACCACGTGGGCTTTGGACAAGTGCCGGCAGCCGTGCATAACAGATCCTGGGTTTTGCGAGGGCGAACCGCCGTCAGATGCATCTTTTCGTCCAGTTGTCGCTTCCGTCGATAGTTTCAACCACTGTGCTACAAATTGCTAGCCTTCCTACCAACTGAACCTACCAACTGCACCGACCTGACGCCAGAGAGGCTGATTATTTTGTATTACCCCTGTATCGCGCCTGCCAGATAGCCCTTGCTGAGCGTTGTTTTAAACGGACGAAACCGCGCAATCTGACCTGTCACGCGACACGAGCGGCTGCGTCGACGCCGATTGAAAGACAGTCCCTCATATTCCGAACGTACTGCCTCCTGCGCCGTTACGGCCAACTCACACTGTCAGACTGCCCCGATATGTATGTTTGTACATCGTTTGGTACTTACTTCTTGTTGCCCCTATAGAAATCCGTGCTGTGACAGTGACTACTTCCCGCTCCTGCAGATTGCGTCATTGTTGATTGTACGTTTTCTTAATTCATGATGCTTACTAATCCGTTTTTCTGTAGAACCAGTTCCTGTCAGTCTTCAATATATCATCTACTGCCCCACGTCTGTCTGCTCCTATTGACTACTGGCTACGAACTGCGTATAATCAAATAGCCGCAATCGCCCTGTGAGATCCGTAACCGCCCGGATCTTACACACAGTAACCTGCCTTAATACGCAAGCGACTATAGAAAGCGACGTAAGACGCTTGGTTGAACTCGAATTTAATTAGCAAAGACCCAAAACGGATATATCTATGTTGATCGAGGATTAACACGTTCCAGGTCTGGCGAAACAATCAATCGGCCTCTTAAACGGTCACTATCAGGTCCGGCTCCCATGGAAACATATTGGCATGACTTACCGGATAACAAACACAGCCGAGAAGCGACTGAAATAACTTCGGCCCCGCCCACTAAAGGACCCGAATCTCTGGCGGCTGTATTCAAACATTATACGGGAACACGAGGCCAAGGGCTACGTCAGTAGGGCCTCGGGAGACCATTCTGAGGGACGTCATTCGTACCTCACCTATTCTTAAGCCGCACAAACCGAGGAAGGTGAGGATAGTAGTTGATTTTGCGGCGAAGTCTGGAAAACTGTCACAGAATGATTGTTTATATTGTGGACCAGATTTGACAAATCATATCACCGGAGTTTTGCTACGACTTCGTTTGAACGACACTGTGCTGTTTGCAGACATTGAAGAAATGTTCCTGCAAGTCCATTTGAAGTCAGAAGATGGGGCACGCGGACGGCAACTCAGAGCAGACCCCGGATGTTTACGAAATCAATGTTCGAGCGGTAAACTGGCCATTTTCGGCAACGCTTGCTTGGGGACAAGCTGCTTATGACAACTGTGAATCGTTCGATGAAAACGCTATTAGAGTTGTGGAGAACTTTTCCGCCGATTCTGCCCATCAAGCACTTAGGCTAGTCGACCAGCTGTCTAGGTTGTTGAAAAAGGGCGGCTCCCATCTGCACAAATGGATAAGCAACAGCGGTGAGGTTTCCTCCCAGATACCGGTAGACGAGCGTGTGACTTATCTGGTATCTTTGAACTCATTACATCCTGACATACACACGACGTTAGGACCCTAATGGTGTGTCAGGACTGACGGCTTTAAGTTTAAATTAGCCATATCGGAGCGTCCAGTGGACAATCGAGGTATTCTCTCGTGTACGGCTTCCTTATATGGGATAGGTCGCACCTCTACTGTTCCAACGGAAACAGTTGCTACAAGAGCTTTGTCGATCAAAATGTGGCTGGGGTGAAGAAGTTAATCAAGCTATTCAAGATGTTTAGAAGAAACGGAGAGACGACATCCGAGTTGTCGAGTCATTCCTAGATGTATCAAACCTAAACAGTTTGTTATCAACCATCAGTCGTTGCACATGTTCTCTAACGCATCCGAGCTTGATTATGGAGCCGTAGATTACCTGAGATGTGAGTCGCTACGACAAGTTTATTGCAGCTTTTTGATGGGAAAATTAAGAGCAGCACCTCTCAAGTCAGTTACTATCCCGCGGCTAGAACTTCAGGCTGCTGTATCAACAGTCAGACTAATTTGCCACCTAGTGAAGCAGAACGAAGCCCAGTTCGAGGGCTTAGGCGGGAACCCCATAATTTGAGGTTTGTACACCTTTTTGTTACGTATTTGATACATGTAGTACGACATTTTATTGACGAGCCCCAAGAATCCATAATTTGTGGCTTGTGATTTTATAGGTCACTCAATTGGGTTTCCCCGAATACGTCAAAGTATTCAACACGTTACATCTCAGACAGGACATCTATATCGTGCGTTTAGGCTAATTAACCAATTCCTTGCCCTGACATCACGGTCTTAGCACAGGATCGTACAGGAGTTAGTAAGAGAACCAGCTCCGAACATAAATGAACCATACAACTGCCAATGGAATAACCACTTTTCGTTGGGACAAATTTAAGTGGTAGTTCTTCGATTGTCCTTGACAGATTAGTTCTAATTTTGGTATCACTTTTGGCTCACTCAGAACTTACCGCATGAGCTATATAACCAGCCGGTTTTCGGCTGCACACGACACGCCTACACGCGTCAGTGTCCAGTAGATCAGCTGATTCGCAAGTTCTTTGGCTTTCTGGTTTGGCTAAGCGCATCACGCTATCAAGCGGCTATCCATACTCGGGTTCACGGTAGTAACAAGGCATAGAGAAAACTGCGGTCCATATCTGTGATCATCTACGCATTCACGTCGCTGATCCATGCGAAACAAAACTACGGGCGAATTGAGAAAGAGGCACTGGTATCGGTATTTGCCGTCCGCTGCTTCACAAAATGATCTACGGTCATTTATTCACCCTGCTGGCTGACCACTGTTGTCCAGTTTTGGCATGCCTGGTCATTGAGCAAATCGTATTCAATGTTGGGTGCTCACACCTCTCGAATACAATTTCGATTTTAGTAGAAACGCGCAGATGGCTTCGGCCAAAGGGATGAACTGTCACGCTTGATCGGTGACCACACTGTTGCGGAAGAGGACATTGCCATCGCCTCGCTGTCCGTGAACGAACATACCAGCAGCAGCCATCACAAACCGTCTGACTGTAGCGTATATCCCGTAAGATACTGTAGTTGATCTGACAGGGGACCCAGTTCCCCAGGACACGCTGGCCAGCTAACCCCCTGGACGACGATCTCCACCGTCGGGATTTCTTGTCAATAGTGGATGACTGCCTCATGTTCGGATATCATGTGTTGGTGCCATGCTCGCTACGTCTTCGGTATCCTGAGATTAACTGGATGAAAGCAATCGTAAGTAGTTTCGCTTACTGGCCAAACATGGATTCGGACTAGGTCAGAGGTTGTTCGCAACGAGCCACCAGCTACGCTGCCTCGGCCCGAACCAACCTGGTCTCGGGTGCATGTTGACTACGCTGGTCCAATTGACGAAGTAGCCCATCTTATCTTGATCTAAGTTTTTTCGTCCTTCAAAATCGAGGCAGCAAAAGTTCTCCTCCGAAGGTCTTGTCTTGGTCTTCTGCGACGGGAGTAGTTGGGATCACGTCGCAGCTGGAGATTTGTGCTCCTTCTCGTGTCGCATGTAACAGTGATCATCCCGTAGACCTCAAAACCTTAGCCACAAAAAGAATACCGTCCAAATAAAAAATAGATTCAATATAAAGGCGGTTTGTTTAGTAGTGCCGAAAGTTCATCGGGATCCAGGGACGAGATGATCAGCCGCAGAGCCGTTTGCACTCCGCGGCGGAAAACGGGCTGAAAAATACATGGGGGACAAGAGAGACTGCAACCGCATCGATCAAGACTCTGATCAAAGAACAAACCGGAGGATACTCACCCAACCAGGGTTCGGTCGGATTTTCGGAATTGTGCGGCAACTGGAGTATCAGCAATGTCTAATTCAACCAGACCGGCAATGCCACGTAGTCCAGCGAGGGCAGACAGTCCAGTGAGTGGATTGGCGCTCACATCGATTCGTTCAATTGAAACCGCACTGCCGGCATCCTCCGGGTTGGCGGCTAGTGGTGAAAAGGAGTTCAGATGACTCAAACGATTGCTGGACAAGTTCAACAGGCTGAGCTGTAGAAATTAAAAAAAACAGGATAAAAAAGGACATGGTTACACAAGGCAAAGTCACAGAGCATAAGTAATGTAACAATCGATTGTGATAACCAAGGAGGATACGATTTGCAAAAAAAGCGTCCGCTAGAAATTAGATAATGGGATGTCGGTGAATCACCTTGGTCTTAAAGAATATTTTCGGAAGAGAATTCTACCATTTCTCTAAACTTGCTTTTCCAAAACCTGAAGAAAGCGAAAATGAAAATGAACGAAGATCATTGCTCTAGCCAAGACCAAAGACCGATTAGTGGTGCGCAGATCGACGAGGTTGTGGAGTAATAAATAATAAATAAATCGTTAAGCTGTAATACTCTTTCGGTGCCCAGCTGCCATGCCACCCGGAGGAAGTACGAGGGCTGGGATACTGCCAGGTTGCCCAAGCCTAGACAAAGAAGTCGAGAGGTAGACGTCGGGTTCGAACCACGGACCATCAGGTTGGTAAACTCGCGCTCTAACCAGTTGAGCCATCTCTTGAGTACGACTGGATGATTGTGAAGTGACTCAGTAACTCAAGCGAAAGGATCGCAATTCAGTGGGTTGAGATGCATACCAAACCGTCCATGCCGATACTATGCTTCTGCCCTAGGGCGACCCTCTCCCATATCGACCACTCCTCCGATAATAAAAAACTCATGGCGTGGGCTTCAAAGGCCCACTGTATGAATGACAGGCAATCACTAGTTTACACCCCAGGTTGATGAAACACTAGTGATTCGAATGTTCTGTTACCGCTCGGTTAAAGAACCTCGATACCGCCTGAATTGGTGCATTTGGACGCCCGCTGTGACATGGTGGTTCTAGTTAACCATCATTTGATGTCAGACCAAGCCAGTGGAGCCAAACAAAGCGGAAGGGTGATGTTGTGAAACAAGGCCAACAAGGTATGAACAAAGTGCTTAAAAGTACAGTGAGATAGTGAACTTCGACGGAACAACACCGTCTGATACGTAACGTCTATACTGGTGTGGAAGATTCCGAAGATGCTGTGTGACTTTCCAGGGTATTCTTTGAGTATGATTGAAATCAATCTTCGGTGGAACAGCTGTGATAATACCTACACCTTCGAAACCTAATTAGAGTTGTTGACTCGCCCTCTCCCACAAGAGTGACCTTGTTTCCCAGGGTCGTCCTCTGAGAGTACACTATAATCATATAGCATCCACCTACAGTTATGTTATTTTTGTAGATTCTTGTCTATCAGCCAGATGTACTGAAAGCAAGCAGACCAAACGCGAACAAAGCACGCCAGAATAGTCACTAACTACCCCGAAAGTTCGAAATGCTTTAACTGAGCTCGCACACATCTCCAAGTTGATAAAAAATGTCCAGGTTGTCCAATTGTGCTCATTTTCCAGGAAAATATCCGACTGTTGAAAATAGGTCCTGTAAGATCAGTATCGGACCACAGACTGATCGCTTCTACCTCAAAACATTTTTTCAAAAAAAACCTTGTTCGGAAAGTTGACCACAACTATGAACATATCAAGCCACATTTAATTCGCATATAAGCACCCCGCCCGATACTTGTTGCCGTAGCCTTCACTGTACACAACAGCCTCAACCCCTAACGGAAAAGTCCAGCTGCCATCTTTGGACTACAGTGTTTGGAATCCCTGTCTATAAAGACTTCGTGAATGTTGTCGCTAGTAACTTCATAAATCGATGACGATCTGCAGCTTGTAGCGGCGACAAAGCTATTACCTATCTAATCAACCCAGGTATCTCCCGTGGCGTCAGTCTTTACCCGTTCTTTTGATTTTTGTACATAAGGATTCTTCCAGTGATAGGATGACTCATCCACTGCGTGTATGCTGGTGGTGGTCCGATCCCTGATCCTTCGAATTTACATGCCCTTGAAATAAATTCGCATTTGGACTGCCTGCTGTTTGAGAGACAGAAGATGGGCACACGTTATGATGCCCCGCACCAGAATTTCCTACATGCTAATTGGTCAAACATCTGGGTACCACGTCGTACCGTGGCCTGCTCTGGACAGCAGATGTCGAAACTACCGAACAGGTAGACCATTTTTCCTCTTTGAAACTTAGAAACCACTCATTTCCACCGGACGCACCCTGTACCTGTATTTATGCTGCTCTACCGCCTTTTCCCGGACTGAAGAAAAAAAAGTCCAATTGTGCTCATTTTCCAGGAAAATATCCGACTGTTGAAAATAGGTCCTGTAAGATCAGTATCGGACCACAGACTGATCGCTTCTACCTCAAACCATTTTTTCAAAAAAAACCTTGTTCGGAAAGTTGACCACAACTATGAACATATCAAGCCACATTTAATTCGCATATAAGCACCCCGCCCGATACTTGTTGCCGTAGCCTTCACTGTACACAACAGCCTCAACCCCTAACGGAAAAGTCCAGCTGCCATCTTTGGACTACAGTGTTTGGAATCCCTGTCTATAAAGACTTCGTGAATGTTGTCGCTAGTAACTTCATAAATCGATGACGATCTGCAGCTTGTAGCGGCGACAAAGCTATTACCTATCTAATCAACCCAGGTATCTCCCGTGGCGTCAGTCTTTACCCGTTCTTTTGATTTTTGTACATAAGGATTCTTCCAGTGATAGGATGACTCATCCACTGCGTGTATGCTGGTGGTGGTCCGATCCCTGATCCTTCGAATTTACATGCCCTTGAAATAAATTCGCATTTGGACTGCCTGCTGTTTGAGAGACAGAAGATGGGCACACGTTATGATGCCCCGCACCAGAATTTCCTACATGCTAATTGGTCAAACATCTGGGTACCACGTCGTACCGTGGCCTGCTCTGGACAGCAGATGTCGAAACTACCGAACAGGTAGACCATTTTTCCTCTTTGAAACTTAGAAACCACTCATTTCCACCGGACGCACCCTGTACCTGTATTTATGCTGCTCTACCGCCTTTTCCCGGACTGAAGAAAAAAAATACTGTATTCTGCTTATTGGAATCTCCTAACTACTACTCAAGTGTTTTGGACTCACCATGGACTACGCCTAAGCCTTGAACTACATAGTTTGTTGTGGACTACCTTAGCATTTTAGGCAAAAGTCCCACACAACTTGCCTCTGGCATGTTTGCCCCATTGACCACAACTATGAACATATCAAGCCACATTTAATTCGCATATAAGCACCCCGCCCGATACTTGTTGCCGTAGCCTTCACTGTACACAACAGCCTCAACCCCTAACGGAAAAGTCCAGCTGCCATCTTTGGACTACAGTGTTTGGAATCCCTGTCTATAAAGACTTCGTGAATGTTGTCGCTAGTAACTTCATAAATCGATGACGATCTGCAGCTTGTAGCGGCGACAAAGCTATTACCTATCTAATCAACCCAGGTATCTCCCGTGGCGTCAGTCTTTACCCGTTCTTTTGATTTTTGTACATAAGGATTCTTCCAGTGATAGGATGACTCATCCACTGCGTGTATGCTGGTGGTGGTCCGATCCCTGATCCTTCGAATTTACATGCCCTTGAAATAAATTCGCATTTGGTCTGCCTGCTGTTTGAGAGAAAGAAGATGGGCACACGTTATGATGCCCCGCACCAGAATTTCCTACATGCTAATTGGTCAAACATCTGGGTACCACGTCGTACCGTGGCCTGCTCTGGACAGCAGATGTCGAAACTACCGAACAGGTAGACCATTTTTCCTCTTTGAAACTTAGAAACCACTCATTTCCACCGGACGCACCCTGTACCTGTATTTATGCTGCTCTACCGCCTTTTCCCGGACTGAAGAAAAAAAATACTGTATTCTGCTTATTGGAATCTCCTAACTACTACTCAAGTGTTTTGGACTCACCATGGACTACGCCTAAGCCTTGAACTACATAGTTTGTTGTGGACTACCTTAGCATTTTAGGCAAAAGTCCCACACAACTTGCCTCTGGCATGTTTGCCCCAGGAGGTTGACTGGACACCAAACACAATATGTAGGTCGTAGCTACTGATACAATATTTGGTTGCCGACATTACTGATGCTCACCAAAGACTAACCGGTGAACAGTAAGTAACACAGCATTACAGCCACCCTTCCCAAAAAGTCCCTCGCTCCACCCCTAAAGACGGTTTCCTGAATTTCTAATTGCCTTTGTCGATCAGATGGGAACTCTTCAAAGGGAACTGCCAGTGGACAAGGGATACCAGTAATGTCGTACATGCCCTTCCTCTGGCCAGGTAGACCTCATAAACTAGGATTGCTAACACTCATCAACTGTCTTAATCTACCATGAATTCCGCATATACCATCATTTTTCAAAAATTTGGTTTCTACTTTTGTGTTGGGCTGTGACATCCCTTCCACACATAGCTGCCGAAGCACGAAGGCTGAGATACTGCCGGATTGCCCAAGTCCAGACAGGAGCAACTGAACAGCTAGGGTTGGGCACAAACCAGAAACTCCCGGTAGGTAGTTTCGCGTCCAAACCGCTGGGCTATTTCGAGCTCATACAGATAACCGGTCATGACTGCTTATTCACACATGGAACTATTGGGTTACCGGATCACAAGTACATCGGCCGTTCATAAGAGTTGCTTAGTTGCAATCTCTGAAACGGTATAGGGGGGAATAGGTTTGCTAAAGTAGGATTTCTGTTGACAACTGATGCAGTTATAACCCGACTACTAACACCCGCAGCTTCTGACCAAAACCAGCATGTAAAAGTTTTCGCATGCGAAGATCAAAGACACCTGAAGCCCAAGGGTGATTAACAGTCACTACCGATGCGGAGCCGCCTGCTCTGGTATTGTTCAAATCCCAAAACCAGACTGACTGTCACATACTGCTTATAGTATTTTCTGCCATCCACATAGCCCTGTACTTCTCTATTGGTGAAACATTCATCCATGAAGTTATAAGCATATGGTAACACGGTACGCATGACAACCACAGCTGGGGGCAGTAATCCGTGGAAGTCGCGGACTAGTTTCATTGAGAAACCAAGCGGCGATCTTTCGGACCTGTATATTGTTATTGTATAATGAAAATACCTCAGAGCGGCTAATGAGAAAAGACCACAAGGAAAACTGAAATGGTAGCAATCCAAAGCATTCGCATATACCTTGGCCGCGTTTTCCTTGAGAATGTTGATCATTGCATGCACCACGGCAGCTTTGTTCAAAGGCAGATACAGTCCCTGACTGAGTAAAGTGGGATCTGTGTGAAGGCTGGATAGATCCAGATTTCTTGTGCCTGCATGGAATCGCTCGACAAAACAACGCCGAAGAGCCGCCACCCAGCTGTCCGGTAGAGAATATGTGAGTTCACCAGACGTGGAGGATAAATTGGCCGTATCGGATTGAGGGACTCGGGGTTCATGTACAAGAGTGATATCACCGATAAACGTTTTGTTGTCTGAAGGGTCTCGGATTGATTGCAAGGCCTTTCGATAAGTCATCAGCTGTGAACAAAAAAGCATTCAGACAGTGAGGTACAGAACATGGTGTACTATAAGGAAAACCAGATCGATAATGGCACTGGGTAAAATAATTGAGTAGGGTGTGCGGATATTCCTAAGACAAGAAAAAGAGAATCAGACGGAGTTCCGAGAAAGAAAGGTTTTCTCTCAACAAGGCACAACCACGAGATATCCTCAACCGCAAAAACAGATGCATACGCACAGAGAAGCCGATATTACAGAAAAACATACCTGTCTTTGGCGGATTTTCGCATACAGGACTGAATTGCGACCTTCGATGCACACGTTGTAGAATCGGAGCTGAGTGCCAAGGGCTGCGTTGACCATTTCTTGTACGGCGTTCAATGGGTGCGTTGCACCGTGCACCACGGTTATTCGAGCCCAGCTCTCACCGTGGGCCAGACCAGTATTCTGAGCGGCTTGGCTGGATCCCGAAGGCGTTGGAAGCAACTAAATGATGGATAGAGGCATGAGCGGGTAGAGGACTGGAAGGAGGTTGCGACCTAGTATGGTCGGACATGGTAAGATCAACCAAAAACAATAGCTTATCGGGCCTCATGTCTTTCTCGCGACAAAGGTGAGGGAAATCTTTATTCAATCAGTGACAAGATAGGACACGAATGAAGTACTAAAAATACAGACTTAAGATGAAGCCACCATTCGGAATTCGAAATGAAGTCTTCACTAAAAAGAGCCACCTCCCCAAGACAACTCTCATCTTCCAACCTTACTACCCATAACTTAGAACAAACCATAACGTACTAATGAGGTTAGACAGTCGATTTAGTTTATCAGCGGCTTATCCAGTGGCTTATTCCGTTTGAACGAGCAAATGCGGAAACGACTGTTGTGTCAAGTGTCCGAGAGCACAATCGTATATGAATCAAATAACTTTCAGAATAACAGGCAACATTGAAGGAGGATTCAGGGACACAGGGCTTGGCTACTGCACTCACGTTCATCGCCACAGCGCGCTTGAGCATATCTGATGGAAACGAACGACGCCCTTGACCAAATCCTTCGCGCCGGTGACCAAGGTGCCCGGTCGCTCGTGGGAGATGGTCACCACTACCATCATTATCGTGGCGACCACGGAATTCGCCTAGGACAAAAAAAAACAAACTGAGTTAGGGAGACTCGGCAAGTGAAAAATAAGGGGTTAACATAACAAAGTTATGATCATCACCATAGATAGATTTACGTACCAGGTGGTGCCACGTTGCTCAGGTGGACTAATGTTGTATATTTGCTCTGTTTTTCAAACGTTTCATCATTTATTGCTAAATCACTTTCTTCCGTTTTCAGCTCTGTGTCAAAGTTTTGGATGAATAAAGCCTAGCTTTCGGGCCCTCCGTCTTTTCCATTGCCATTCTGATTGTCGTTGCACTCTGACCCTCGTCGTACACAACAATTTATTCATCCAAAAAAAAGTTTTCGAACAATGGATCGATTCTTACGTCCTGAACGATTTGATACCGACCCCAATACTCAAGACTCGGCAGATACCTGGGAGCATTGGTTTTGTACTTTCACAAACTTCCTAGAATCAACCGGTTCTCATTCCCCAGATAAATTGAAAACCTTGTTCAATTACGTCTGCAAAGACTATGAATCAGCCATCGAAACCTTGCGAGAAATTTACGTACAGCCGAAAAATGAAGTTTTTGCACGACATCTTTTGAACACTTGTAAACAGGACGGAGCTCAGAACCTTGATCAGTTTGTGCAGAAGCTTCGCAGTTTATTGCCAGACTGCCGCTTTACAGCCGTCAGTGCAGAACAGCAT